GGCCCGGTACGACGCTCCGGTGGCATTGCTACTCCCCCAGGGCCCCCGTCCCGCCTAACCCTGGAGCGGTTGACCACGAGATCTAGCCTTTTGACTTCCCGCGGACGGGTTTTGACCAGTGGACCTCTCCACCCGGTTGTGTTAGGTCGGCCCAGAGGGACACCCGGGAGCAACATCCGGGCCAAAACCACAGCTACATCCACTCCGCGTAGACCCGACGCGTCCGTTTCCCCCTTCCAGGTGCCGGCGGCGGCGCCGTCCATGAGGGGGGGCACACTGCGGATGTGAGGGGGGTCACTCTCTGGAGACGGGTGTCGGGCGTTTGCAACTGCCACAAAACTTCTTTCGGCATAGCTGTTTTTGATTTTAATAAAATATAAGGATCTATATTTAAAAGAACATGACCGCACATTATTAACGTGCTCGAAAAAATACAAACTATATATATATATTCATAATATATGAAAAAAATATAAACTACATATATATTCATATGTATGTTTATATTTAACATGTTACATGTTAGTTGATATAATAATACATAAAAAAGCATTAAAAATATGTACCGAAAAAAATCTAACTATGCCGACGGCCTAGCCGTCGGCATAGATCCGACCAGCGTGCCGCGGATCACTGACGTGGCAGATATGCCGACGGCAGCCGTCGGCATAGGCTCTGCATGGTGCGGCCTGGATCAATGACGTGGCCTGCGGACCTATGCCGACGGCCCCCCGTCTAGGCCGTCGGCATAGCTCTGACGCCGTTAGCCAGGGGGTGGCCGGGCCCCACGTGTATGCAGACGGCCTATGTAAGCCGACGGGAGCTGTCGGCGTATATGTAGCTAGGCCGACGGCCATTCTATGCTGACGGGTGCCGTCGGCTTATCTCTGCGTAACCCGACGGCCTTTGTACGCCGACGGCCAGAACCAGGCTGCCGGCATATCTCCCAGGAAGCCGACGACCGCCGTCGGCATTGTTTTGGCCGTCGGGGTATGGCCCTGTTCCGGTACTGATTATGTGCAAAGAAAATTCGTTTTGGTCAAGCAGATGCCAAATTTACGGAATATACGTTCAGAATGGACCTCCCACGAGATATATCCCCTGGAGGCGTTGATACATTCGAACCTCGCCGGCCGATAACTAACCCCCATGAGATCCAAGGATTTAAACTGTCCCCGCGGCGTTTACGCCGGCGCATGCAGCAGCACAGCCACAGATCGATAGTCCTCCGTCTCGTGGACTAAACCCGCCGCGCGCCCGCAACCACCTCGCGTATATAAATACACTCCCTCCCTCTACCAGAATCCCCGAAGAGATCGATCGATTGCGCGAGAGAGAGGGGACCATCCATCGCGGGCGCGAGGGCCAACAGCATGAGACCCATGGCTTCCTTCGGCGCTGCCGCCTGCTTCGTCCTCTGCGCGCTGCTCCTCGTCCAGCCCGCCCCCGCCGCCGCCGCCGGCGAGAAGCAGTCCTACGTCGTGTACCTCGGCGAGCACGCGCACGCGTCGCAGCTGCACGACCTCGCCGCCGTCGACCTGGCGGCGGTCGAGGGGAAGGCCGCCGACTCGCACTACGACCTCCTCGCCACCGTCCTCGGAGAGTAAGCAGGCCATGGCCGCCGCTGTTTCTTGAACCGATGATCAGGTGTAGATGCGTGCATGGAGGTTGGCTGACGTAGATTTTCTCTCTGTTACGCTCATCGCAATGCAGCAAGGAGAAGGCGCGGGAGGCCATCTTCTACTCGTACACCAAGCACATCAACGGCTTCGCCGCCAACCTCGACGCCGAGCAAGCCGCCCAGATCGCCCGTGAGTAGTCTCTCTCTACCGCCTGCATGACCGCCGTGGTGGATCGACGGCGTTTGCTCCTGAAATATGGTGTCGCCGATCGATTAACTGACTGCTTTCCGGTCGTGATCTAATCTGCAGGGCTGCCGGAGGTGGTGTCGGTGTTCCGGAACAGGGGGTACCAGCTGCACACGACGCGGTCGTGGCAGTTTCTTGGCATCGCCGGGCCCGGAGGCGTCCCCCGCGGAGCGTCCTGGCGCAAGGCTAAGTTCGGCGAGGGCGTCGTCATTGGCAACATCGACACCGGTACTTGCATGATCGGATTTATATATAATCATAATCAATCTGGTTGACTTAATCTGACCACAGATATTTGGGACAGTATATATAGCAGGAAGCCAGAAAATCAGTAAAGTGCCAAAAAAAATTTAGTAGATATACCAGTACAAAAGTTGCCTTAGATTGGATTACCCCGCATGTTACCGCAAAATTAGATATATAATAATTTAAAATGCTAATTCAGTCCTTGCGATTTATTTATGTACGAGATATGAGCACATTCTAAAATGAAATCTCGGCACGAAAAGTTTGTGCATGCCACAGCTAAATGTAATGAAATTTAAAACCCACAGCGAAAAGTTTGTTGCATGGTAAGGACTCACATGCATAGACCTGATGGATGCTAGTGGATCAAGCTAAAATATGTTGATTGAACAACAATTTTGATTATTTCAAAGCATGCCCATTGAGACAATTAGAATTTAGAAGTACTAGTTGGAATCACGCTCTTAAATACTCCCTCTGTCTCATAATATAAGATCATTTTTTCAAACTAACATAGCTTATTATGGGATGCCCATTGAGGGGTATAGAGTTGCACATCCTTCGTCTGTTTAGACTATGGTTAATAGTATAGCCAGGTGTTGGTTGTATGGGCATGTCATGTTAGCATTACTAATTACTCGTACAATAATGTTGACTATAAGGTTGGCAATAAGATTACAATTTTTTCTCAGTTTCTCATCTTTTTCTCTTATTAAATGTTTTTTATTTAGGAGCACGCTAGAGGCGGGCTCTTGCATAAAAGCCACATCTTTTACTTTTTTGCATGTCTTTCTCTTTCACATTGGCAAAAGTGTCGTGTAAACAGGCTTATAGCCTGCTATTGTACTACTTGTTTTTAGTCATAGTGCTATAGAGGAGGTCAGAAGACTAGTCAGAGTGCTGTTGACTTTTTCCCATTCACTAATGGATTCATCTTTATAGCTGGTCTTTGACAGATCGAGTATATAGGACCATCCAATGATTCCATAGTGGCTTCCCATCTGTACATGCAACCATGCTAGATGCTATCCTACCCTACATTCCTGCAGGGTACTTACTTTCTCGACATGCTCATTACAATTCCGATGCAGCCAAAGGATGCACCATAATCCAACATACATACTCCAAACCAATCAATGTCCATCTGGAGAAATTTCCTTGTCCACGTTAAAACGAGCCAGCAGATTTTTCATGGAATTTCTGCGGTCCAAACAGGCCTCCAATTGAGGACCTTTTATTTAACCGTTGTACTGAAATAGTTGTCTTTACTTTGGATTGGAATCTGCCGTTCAAATTGATTTGTATTTCAATGGTGTTGCTGATATATACGTGCTCTTGTGCTCTATGGATGTGAAGGTGTGTGGCCAGAATCGGAGAGCTTTCGGGATCATGGGCTGGGACCAGTCCCCAAGCACTGGAAAGGAACATGCGAGAAAGGCCAAGACGATAACTTCCACTGCAACGCGTAAGCTATCGAACCAACTAACTCTAGTTGTTACACATTTAATTAACAGCCTAGCTAAATCTCCAGTCGACTGAGATTTCTTATGCCTCAATCGATGCTATATTCGTGATATCTTATATTGAGATCTATGCATATTTTTTTAGTCGTTTTTCTTTTTTTACATGTTATGTTACTTGACTCTAAGCTAGCCACGCCCTTAATTAATGCATGCATGCATTCTCATGCTAGTTAGTCACATAACTATGTTCGTTTAGAGCAATGTTTGTGTCCTTTTCAGATCCACACTTGGAGTGCATATTGTGCACGTATGTTTGATCCAAAAAGTTGATATACTTTTGTCTAGTGTAGCACTATAGTTGAGGCCACCACCATGCAGATATGAGCTGTGGGAGAGTAAGACCACCACCAGCTGATGCCTCTAGGGTATCTACTAGTGGTAGTATAAGTGGCAATGATGTATATATATGCATGCTTTGACTGCATGCATCATGTCTATCCTTGAGAATTCCTTTAATCCCAGACGACAGTGACACTGCACTGAGGCTGAGTGGTATATAGTGTCTCCCAGTCCCACCTGTAAGAGATAGCGAGAGAAGAAAGAACAGGTAAAGTTGCATGCCTTTAGGGTTCACTGTATACTCTTGTCTTTTGTCCCTGCACAAATGAGCATAAAGAAAAATAACGAAGAATTTTAGAAACAAGTTTTGAATATATGCTCAATGATGCATGTATTGATCGAAAGGATCATGGACATTCTCCATCAGAGTTTATTCATCGAGCTGTATGGAGCAATTTTTTAATACTAGTTCTGTCTGAACTTTTGGCGCGCATGCATGCAGGAAGCTGATCGGGGCGCGCTACTTCAACAAGGGGTACGGCTCGGAAGGGCTCGACACCAAGGCTCCTGAGTTCAACACGCCGCGGGACAACGAGGGGCACGGCACGCACACGCTGTCCACGGCCGGCGGCTCGGCGGTGCCCGGCGCCAGCGTGTTCGGCTTCGGCAACGGCACGGCCTCCGGCGGCTCCCCGCGGGCGCACGTGGCCGCATACCGCGTGTGCTACAAGCCCGTGAACGGCAGCTCGTGCTTCGAGGCGGACATCCTGGCCGCCTTCGACGCTGCCATCCACGACGGTGTGCACGTCCTGTCCGTCTCCCTCGGCAACGACGGCGAGCCCTACGACTACTTCGACGACGCCATTTCCATCGGGTCTTTCCACGCCGTCCGCCGGGGCATCTCCGTCGTCTGCTCCGCCGGAAACTCGGGCCCCAAGCCGAGCTCCATCTCCAACCTTGCGCCGTGGCTCTTCACCGTCGGTGCTAGCACCATGGACCGCGAGTTCCCGTCTTACGTCGTCTTCAACGGCACAAAGATCAAGGCCCGCTTCTTCCCTAGCTATCTCACAGTTCTTGTTATTGTCATTTCTGGAAGATAGTTAATCAAATTGTTTTGGTGCATGCAGGGGCAGAGCATGTCGGAGACATCGCTCAAGAGCAAGGAGTCTTACCCCATGATCGACTCCGCTGAAGCCGCAGCTCCCGGCAGAGCGGTAGATGACGCGTACGTGTATCATTGTCTCTATATTGTTAATCTTCTATACGACCAAATACTAGTAATGTGCGACCTTTACATGATATGATGATAACGATGATGAATGTGTGTGCGAGTGCAGCAAGATTTGCCTACAGGGGTCGCTGGACCCGACGAAGGTGAAGGGGAAGATCGTGGTGTGCCTGCGTGGGACGAGCGCGCGTGTGGCCAAGGGCCTGACGGTGCTCCAAGCCGGCGGCGCTGCCATGGTTCTCGCCAACGACGCCGCCTCCGGCAACGAGATTATCGCGGACGCGCACCTGCTCCCGGCCACGCACATTAGGCACAGCGACGGCCTCACCCTATACAACTACCTCAAATCCGCCAAGTAAGCAAACCAAACCATGAAAATGAAGCCTACGGCGTAATCTATATTAATTACTGCTTCTAAATAATTGGCACATTTAGATGGATGCATGACGTTGTTTCTGTTTTTTGAAAAGGTCTCCAGAGGGGTACGTTGAGAAGCCGGAGACGACCCTGGAGACGAAGCCAGCGCCGTACATGGCCGCTTTCTCCTCGCACGGACCCAACCCCGTCAACCCGGAGATTCTCAAGCCCGACATCACGGCGCCTGGGGTGAGCGTGATTGCCGCGTTTACGCGCGCCATGGCCCCCACGGAGCTTGCCTTTGACGAACGCCGCGTTGCCTTCACGTCCATGTCGGGGACGTCCATGTCGTGCCCGCACGTCTCCGGCCTCGTGGGGCTCCTCAAGGCCCTCCACCCAGACTGGAGCCCCTCGACGATCAAGTCGGCAATGATGACGACGGCAATCGACGTGGACAACAAGGGCGAGTCCATCCTCAACGCGTCCTTGGCGCCGGCGGGGCCCTTTGCCTATGGCGCCGGCCACGTGTGGCCGAGCCGCTCCATGAACCCGGGCCTCGTCTACGACCTCGGCCCCGACCACTACCTCGACTTCCTCTGCGCGCTCAAGTACAACGCCACGGTCCTGTCCATGTTCAACGGCAAGCCGTACAAGTGCCCCGAGAAGGCCCTCAAGATCGAGGACCTCAACTACCCATCCATCACCGTCGTCAACCTCACGGCCTCCGGCGCGACGGTGAAGCGCACGGTGAAGAACGTCGGCTCCCCGGGCAAGTACAAGGCGATGGTGCGCCAGCCGGCTGGCGTGCACGTGACGGTGAGCCCCGACGTGATGGAGTTTGGGAAGAAGGGGGAGGAGAAGACGTTCGAGGTCAAGTTCGAGACCAAGAACGCCAAGCTGGCCAAGAACTACGCGTTTGGCGCGCTCATATGGAGCAACGGGGTCCAGTTCGTGAAGAGCCCCATCGTTGTCAAGACGGCGGCGTGAACGGGCGACCGGGTAAAATTATATCGATCGAGGTCAAGTTGGCGTTTGATTAGCTTAGGAATGAAGCCACTGTAGAGAGAAACAGACACGCATATGTTATTTAGATCTTTAGGCCTATGGAACAATAATCAAGTGAAGGGGAATAAAGTGGTTGGTAGTTCTTCGCAGTGTTTGCATTGTGCTTTCTCTTTTGAAAGAAAGCTAGCGGCATCGAAACCGGAAGAGGATCTACGACACGCAAGGGCTGGGGCACGCCGATCCCCCGACCTATGCCGAAATTTGGAAACTAGGGTGTTTGCTCTTGTATAACGTTCCTTATATGTGTGTACTGCATTTATAAATAGGAGCAATACAACTGTGGCGTCGCGCACCAAACATCTGATTATAGATGCTAACATAGAAAAATAGCAGGGATGAGCAAAAGCGATTCATTTTGTCCATTCGTGTTGTTTTTGTTGCTTGTTGTCTATTCTTATACACCGTTTTTCTTCTAGTCTTGACCAGCATTTCTATAGAAGAAGGGTCGTGTTAGGCGTCGGTTGATCGGCCCAAATCCTGGCAGGTCGTCTGCCATGCGATATCTCCTTAATCAACCGATCTCTTCTCCCATGTCGCCTTATTCCTCACGTCTCTTTCCCCACTTATCTCGCGTTCGCGCTCCCTTGGTCGGCTCGCAACACGGCCAGCTCGTCTCGTCGCACCTCTTCGTGAACCGACATCACAGCATCCCGTATGTGGTTGCAGCTTCTTGTGGAGGTAGTACCAGCATCTCCGCCAATCGCAACACTAGTGGGCGTCGGTTTCCAGCATCGCCAGGTGTCAGTTCTAGCTTCTTCGGGCACCTGTTCTAGCATCTCTGAGCAAAGGTTCCAACATTCACCTGCACTAGTTCTAACCCGTCGGACAGCCATCACGTGCGGGTGGTTGCAATTTCGCCACTCCCTAGATGCAGCTACCATGGTAGCCGGTTCCAGCTCCCACCATGGTCGTCATCGTAGATTGTCCCAGCACCCCAACCATTAATAGCAGTGTTGCCGGAGCACGGTCGCTGCATCACGGGGTGTGGTTCCAGCACCATGTGTTGTTGGTTCCATCTTCGCGCCTTGCTGGTTCAAGCATGTGGTCGTGGTAGCAGCATCATGCCTGGCCGGTTCCAACACCTCGCCTTGATGGTTTCAGCATGTGGTTGTCGGGATAGCAGCACCGCACATGACGGATCTACAACCGTTGTCCATCACGCGAATTAGCACCACTTGCGAAGGAAGGAGGAGATGGTGGACAATGCCAATGGCGAACCAGTCAAGCCTCAAGACGCTGGCGATCTCGAAGCGGTGAAGATGGTGGTTAGGGCGCCTAAGCCAAGCGATCTTGGAGGTCGACGATTACAAAGACTACCGCGGCCCCAACTGCCTACAGGCTCGCTGTGGCTAGGATGTAGTGCTTGTTGGGATGGGTGTCACTAGATGTAAGCTCGATTTAACCCCCCCTCCCCCCCCCCTCAAAATGAAAATTGTACTCAATCCCATTCGAATCGCTCAAATCCCTAATTGGGTATGCCTAAATCAAGTGCCAAATTGATGTCCGAGAGGTAGATTAGATGCCTAGTGTGTGATGTGTAAATCGAATGAGGCCATGATAAATCAATTCCGTCCGGGACAGAGGGCTTACTGCCATTGATGAATGCATGCGGGTGAGGTGATGAGGTTGGTGATCCACGATGCTTGACGTCCAAATCTTGGTGTGTCAAATGTTGATAGATGGGAAAGTGAGCAACGAGAGAGGGCAGAGGGTGGCGGCGCTTTAGGAAAAACACAATATTTCGAGCATGGCTCCTCGGACACCCACGTGACTAAGTTGCATTGCTCAGACTTGGCTGTGGAAAAGGCAGATTCGAGTGTTCCTACTCGGCCAAACCCAGGGTGCAAACAAACAGCCCAAAACTGCATATCAAGGGCCTGGTTGAACCTAATGCAGACTATCAAACACAGGACAAAGTACTAGGCATACGCGCTAAAAGGGAAGTAGGGTTATTCTTGCTTTGCAATAGATTGATTTTGTTCGATCTCAATAACTGAAAATTTAGGAAATGGATGAGAATGAGTACAAAAACAATCTTTTCGATTGTGTTTGCACTCAGTGTCTACAATCTCTGTATCTGATAATGAAAGAAAGAAAACGTTTTTTCTCACTGAAGACAGAATACGAATCATCCCTACCAAGCCTGTATTTGCCACACACAAAGTTTTAGTTCCTCAAATGGAGGATGCCACATCTCCTTGATCAGTGTGTGTATAAATGTTCAAATCGAGAAAATGTTGAGCAGAAGGTCTGCTCTAAATACTCTAACCACCAAACAAGTACCCAGCTGCCTGATCCTCGTTGCCGTTGCACAACTGGAGTGCTTGTATTACAGATGCTCGGTCAAATCCAAGTTCCACGAGCTTTATGACTTTTGCTTCAAAATCTCCTCCCTGACAAGGGTTCTTAAAATGGTCAAGATCAATCTAATTCATGGACTCTCAAAAGAAACAAATGTATAGAAGACCACAATTTTGAAGAAAAAATTGACACCTGTGGAGGAATTACAGCTGGAGCTCCTACAAAGGAAATCAAAGTTGGTCGCAATTAATCAGCAATTCGATAGGCTAAAAGTTATCAGAAGATCACAGTTCTCTAAGTCAAGGAACTACACGAGCACCAGTAAACTAACCTGCAGGAGAGGATGCCAGTGGCACATCAGGAGTCTTCTCACGTGCCTTTGACGATTCCTGGATGATATAGAGTAAATAAGGATATACGGATGATTACTCCTGTGTCTCTAATATGATTACAGGAAAACCAAGGCTGATTTATGCAAAGCAGTAAATTTTGCTTACTCCAGCTGCTCCTTGGCTAGAAGATGCTAGGTTCGACGATTTCTCTCCATCGCGTATATGTGAAGGGATGTCTTTCTCTGAAGATACCATATTAGAGGGATTGAAAAACCGAGACTTGCAAAATTGTAGAAGTAGATGATATAGAATACAAATATAGGGATGTTCAGTATTGCGAAAAAACTAACAATAATATCGAACTTAATAGTCTATTTCATTATGCAATCATCAAGAACTAAAACTAGAGAAAAAAACATGAAATAGGCAAGCTACTAACCATGTAAGAAGGGAACTGACACTTCACCACCTCCTACTCTAAGGACATTGTCCTTTAGGTCAATAATGCACTGCGTTGGATAACAAAATGTGTCATTATGGGATGTGAGTTAGATGCGATGACTTATTCCAAAACTTGGTCATGCAATTACCTGATGTTTCCGCAGCATATCAAGCCCGAAAAGGAATTCCATGTTTGGAGCATCCAATACTGTGAAGGAACAGGGATAGAAAGCATGGCCTATCTGTCCAAACATAGCAACGTATTGTGAATTACTGTCACTACTTGATGAATTCTCATAATGATGAAAGTTATGGCATTAGGTTTGAAGAAAATACTAAAGGCTCTGATTCAACTTAAGGAGTATCCTTTTTGTGGAACATAGACAACATATTGTAGAACAATCAAAATTCATAATTTTGTACCCGAGTAATGAGTTTGGTATTATATTATTACTATGTCTCTCTAGGCTAAATAATGCTTGTCAGACTGCAAATTTTTCAATGACTCAAATAGCATTACAGTGTGTCCAAAGTCATGGCGCACAAAATGGGTCATTCTCAAAAGGACTGGAAATTTTGACGTTCGTACAGCAATTTACAATATCAAACCTTTATAGCTGCTACATGTATTCTTCCAAGTATCTCCGATTGACCAACTCCAATAGCAACCCCTCTGTAACGCTGATCAAGGAGCCTGAGTAACCTGCAAATGATACTCGATTATGTGATCAGTTGTATATGGCATGGAATGCATTTCAGCGAATGTCCCCAGTGAATGATTTACATTCACGTGTACAGTAAAATTCCATTGTATGATGAGATAAACTCTTAAATATGTATGACTTCTACACGCAGAATGATCATATGAGATATGAAAGACTAAACAGTTGCAATAACAACATTTTAATTTATAATCGTACCCACAACGTTCAGCGCAGTCTTTTGATATGATGGTTGACTGAGCTCCACTGTCAACAAAGGCCTGTAGATGAAAGAAAAGCTAAGAGATCGCGTATACAAAACGAGTAGCAGGAAGCAATCAAGCATCTGAATAAATCCGTATCCAGTTATTGCATATCCTTTAGTTGGTAGACTGCTAGTACACAAACGCAGTAATAGAAAGGAAGATTTAACTTTCAAGAATAAACTATTGGGGTAGATAATACAATTGGTAGTAATAAAATATTGTGTTGCAGTTATTTAGCTAAGATTGATGCGATCAACAATGATATATGAAAGGAGTTATAGCAAAGTCCATACAAGGTCTCTGATATTCAAAATATCATTTAAAAATATTGATTGGGCTTTTGAGTACAGGCAATGCTCAGCTGTTCACCATGCTCGTTATCTACAAATAGATATATGAAATAACATAATACCTTCAAAGGTACTCCGTTGACTTCCATATCCACATACAACATAACCTGAAATAGAATGCTGGTCAGTTAATAAATAAGAATAGCATGTAAAATAGAAACATACTGACTTACTAAAGAGTCAACATACCACTCGACCAAATGCTTCAGGATTATGCTCTATAGCAGCCTCCCAATTTTCATCAATGCCTTTCTGAATGACAAATTACAAGTACTCAGAACGTCAGGTATTTAACTAAGATTGCTGAGGTGAACAGGAGTATAAAACACAGTAAGACAGAGCAAAGCTTTTGTGTGCACATCATTTTACATAAAAAGCATATGACATGGTAACAACTACTCCCTCTGTTTCTAAATATAAAACTTTATAGAGATTTCAATACAGACTACATACGGATGTATATAGACGTTTTTTAGAGTGTAGATTCACTTATTTTGCTCCATATGTAGTCCATATTGGAATCTCTAAAGAGACTTATATTTAGGAACGGAGGGAGTAATAATATTTTAATATTATCCAACCATGAAAGCTAGCAGAAGTTACATACTTACATGCATGAAAAATGAAATTCCCCTTTTGCACTATGCATCACTCTGACTCTTCATTATATTCAGTCCCATGTCTATTCCTATGTTTATGATAAGCATTCTTAAGGCTTGTTTGGCATTGTTGTGGATTTTGATAACCCCATTGGGTTGAGCTGCTTTTAGATAAGAACATGTTTGGCTAAATTTTTCTCTTGATGAAGTTGCAAACAAATACATTTTTGTTTTTGTTGTGGGTCCACAAGACATCAAGAGACAAACATATCCATATAGGCATTGTGTAGGTTATGTTAGAGATAGGAAGGTTAAGAAAAGGAATAACTCAAGTTATTGGATATGGTTGGGTCTATTAGAAAGAGTAGTTAAAGTAAGGAAGAGCCCAACTGAAATAGGAATGTAGAGTTATGGTTCAGACTTGAGTTTGAACTGAGATCCAACTTGTGGATCAAGTCAGATGCTCCCGAGTATAATAAAGGTCCAATGTGTATGTAAACCTTCGAACAAGCAATGAAATAAATAAAAATGTTCTCTCAGCCTCAGCCTCTATTTCCACGTCAGGAAAGAGCCCTGTCGGCAGATTGTTGAGGGTGAGTGGACCTTTACCCTAACCAAATTGCCTTGCTGCGGACCAAGGTTCATCTTCTCTATCGCGGAGCATAGTGAATGAAAGATGAGGACAACAATTGGTTAACCAAATTCATTTACATTTAGTTTGATTAACCTTCTTATGACTGCTTCTCCACAGCGGCTTAAGAAATAAGCACTGCCCTCTAAAATAAATAAGCCATCCTTGGGTTGGTCATGTAATGATGATTGTGATATTTAACATTCGCCTCGTAACATATGAGAAGCCTAAACAGTCAACAGGTGTTATCCTCACAAAAAAGTTTCTACCTGCCGAATTGCAGCTTCAATTTTCTTCTGAGCCTCGACATCAAATGGATCGGCATACAATAAGGCCTGAAAAAAATCATAATCATCAATGACTTAACCTATTATTATTCAGCAAGTTTGCAAAAATAGAACACAGCAAGAAAAAGAACATGGAACTACCATCTCCTGAAGTGGTCCAATATATATCTATCTAAGAGAGCTTACAAGATGTGAAATTTTACAGCATATAGATGTAACAGCATGGAAATATATTTATACAAATGCTATGGAATTAATGCAAGAAGAAGCATATTTCTCAACTTTGTCACTAAGAACATCAAATAACTATCAGGGGGGAAATAGTTTTGCTAAGTCTCAATCGACTGAGATTTTCTTATCGATTCAGAAAAGTGCAATTTCAGTTTACTGAAAAGTGCAACTTGCACTTCTTGTTTCAGAAAAGTGCAAAAAGGTGCAACTGGGCAGAAAAGTGCAAGTTGCATTTTTCAGTTTTCTGAATCGATTGAGACTTAAGAAAATCTGAGTGGATTGCTTAATTTAGACTTAAATAAATACACCCAAATAAAAACTAGCGATTAGCCGATGAGATACTCACAAGCTCTTCTTCCTGTTTGCGTTTCAGTTGTAGTCTTTGTTGGTGGTGTGACCGCAAGATGTTTTGCAACTCAGTGGTGTCATCTCCAAGGATGGCTTGAGCTAATGAAGGGTCATTCTGCAAATTAAAAAGATATCAGTTTAAACAAAAATAATGGACATATTTTCTGCAACTAACATCTGGGAATTGTAACCTAGCCAATATTGATAAATCAATGAAGCTACCAACAAAGCTTTACCTGAAGGAGTTGCGCCATAAGTTGTGAATCGCCACGAATATGTTGTTGGAAAGCTTGAGGATTTACTGCCGATCCATCAGGATTTAACCTCATAATATCCTGAGATGTCCTGAAATTTTTGACCCAAGAAATTAACTAGTAGAAAGCATTGTCACTGCAGTGGCACTAAAATTCACGAGGATTAGTTAAGCTAAAATATGTAGTGCATCTTTTTCAACATCATGGCAGTTCTGATTTGTGATTGTGATGTACCAAAATCATAACTGACAGCTACAAAAAAGAAAACCAGCTCGACGTACCAATAAAAGAAAACAAGACGTCACATGTAAGACCAGAAGCATCATATCAGGCATAACGAACAGCAGGAATGTAAGTATGTAACCCCTCAAGAAATTCCCTAGAGAACAACCAGAGATGTCGGAAAAACAACAACCAAACCTATTATTGGAGGCAACCATCATCACAAGATCACCATCATGGACTCCGATGGCGCTGAGCTTCTCAGCATTGTTCATCTCCTTGCCATTGAAATGAAGCAGCTGCTGCTGCAACGGCACTTGAGTCTAGCCACGCAAAGACACCCAAAACCAAACAATGTGAGGTCAAACCAGCCAAGGCAAAACCTGGAAGAGAAACCTGAAGAAAGATTCCGCTGGCGCCGGCTCACCTCCACCTCAAGAAGCGCCTTCAAATTCTCCACCTGCAAAACACGCAGGGCGCACAATTCAGCCAAAAGCCGCACAGATTTCGCGTCCATGGATCGCAATCACAGCTCAGTTTTAGCTCCACGAGCAGAAGACTCGCACGATTCTAGCCAAACCAAGATACCGCAGCTGTCGCAGCTAAAGATCCGATCGAACTCTACGCCTAAGCACGAGGCACCAATACGCCGAGGGGAGTGAATTGCGGGTCGCTGCGAGGTTCCCGCTTTCTCGCCGGAATTCCTCGGCCTTCTCGCGAGCTCGCCACCCGAATTTTGGCCCAAAGAAGCAGCCTTTATTGCCCGTCGAGATCGAGATGGGGGAGAAGTACAGGAGGGACCGAGGGGGGCGGGACGGAGGCTTACGGATTCGTCGGGGTCGACGTCGAGGTTGAGAAACTGCTCGTCGGCGGTCATCACGGTGAGCTTCATCTCGCCGCCGCCGGTTGGAATCGCCTAGTCCTATGCCTCGGCTGTGGACAGAGGGAAGGAAGGAGGCGAGTCTACGGGCGTCAAATCGCGCTGCCTTCTTGCTTGAAGAAGTGGTAAAGAATCCTGACCCTGAGTCCCTGACGGTGTACCGCTGGGGAGTCTTACTGACAATACGTTCCAGGCCGTCCGATCCACGTACCTGGAGCTGGAGGCCCAACTCCAGCAGGAGAGGATATCTGCCTAGAAAAAACTAGTTGTGCCTTCCTAAAAAAAAACTAACTGTGCCAGGGTGGACGTCCTTGAAAAAATGAGCTTAGAGCAAACTCTAGCAGATCCCGCAAAAACATGTTTGACTAAAATACCCGCCATTTTACGGCACAAGGACAAAAAATCCATCCCGACCAAGTTTCGAAAACGGCTCGTCCCGTATATATTTTTACGGGGAGCTTAAAAATCAGCCTGGTGCCTCCATATGTCCGGTCCCCCCCCCGCCGCCCTCCCTGTCATTCCCTCTATCCCTCGTGCGACTTGGCGGGAGGGAAATTTCAGCTTGTGCCTGTCATTCCATCGCCACCCCCACCGCAAATCTCCAGCGATTTTTGCATCCCCCGGACACCTCGCGTCGTGGAATGGGTTGATTAATGATCGTGATTGGTTTGAGTTGTATGTTTTATTTTGGTGATGTCCTATGAAGCCCTACGTATCGCGTGAGCGTGTGGGATTATCGTTGTAGGGTGTTGCAATACATTCATAATTCGCTTATTGTGGGTTGCATGAGTGACGGAAACACAAACCTGAGTAAAGGGGTTATTGTGGATGGGAGTAAGAGGACTTATTACTTAATGCTATGGTTAGGTTTTACCTTAACGATCTTTAATAGTTGCGGATACTTGGTAGAGTTTCAATCGTAAGTGCATATGATTCAAGTACGAAAAATATGTTAGCTCATGCATCTCCCTCATATAAAATTGCAATAATGATTACCGGTCTAGTTATCAATTGCCTAGGGACAAATTCTTCTCTTATGCTACAAAAAGCTCTCTACTGAAACAAACTAACTTTTATTATCTTGCAAAGTACTCCTAGTTTTATTCTTGCAAAGTAATTCTAGGATTACACCTACAAAGTATTTCTAATTTCATACTTGCTCTAGGTAAAGCAAACGTTAAGTGTGCGCAGAGTTGTATCAGTGGTCGATAGAACTTGAAGAGAATATAAATTCTACCTTTAGCTCCTCATTGGTTCGACACTCTTATTTACCAAAAAAAATCTACAATTGATCCGCTGCACTTTTCGGTTATTGAGGGTTGAGAAAGGGGGTTTTGCCATGGAAACAGTGCCAGTAGCTCCGAATGCACGGGCTCCGCCTCAGTTTTAGGTGGGCCGAGTGTTAGAGTATATTTCTCCCTAAGTGGTTTTGATGATTGATGACAACATATTTGCGTACTAATCGTGTGGATTGAGCTTCTCGGACTATCAAGCATATGGCACAAGACGATTCGTGCCCCTCGGAGTTCCAAGAGAAGATGGTTTTCTTTCCCGCGTTTCTTTTCTGGTGCACTTAAGTCCTAGGGAAAACCGTACTATCAAGAGAAGGTCTACATCGGAAAGGTTTGGGCGGAATCAACACGTACAGTCTTCTTGCACCCATCGCCCCCTTCCATTTCCTTGGAGTTGTCCCCCATTTGCATCGGAGTAGGGGAGAAGAGCCACAAGGGGTAGTACCGCTGGCGGCAGCGGTAGTACCGTTGTAACCACCGTTCGCACTATCGCTCGTGGCTGGGACCTCGATTCGTCGTGTCGGGTTCTACGGTGGTGCCTACGGGTTACTACCGTGCTACCTGTTTGTCCCTAGAAAATGGGCAGTTATAGCAGCGATAGTACCGCTTATAGGCGGTAGTACCGCCCCTACTACCGCGGCTACCACCGCCCGTTCCTCTGTTTTCTCCCATGTTCTTCTTTCTCTTGTGCATCCTGTAAAGGGCGGTAGTACCGCTCTTAGAACGGTAGTACCGCTCGTCTGCGAGCTGTGAGATGCATAACGGTTGGATTTGTCCCCCCTACTATAAAAGGGGGTCTTTATCCCCAAGAAGACTTGCCTCTTCCTCCCCCAAACTCCATTGTTGCTCCAAAGCTCATTTTAGCCCGACTTCTCTCCCTAGCCGATCAAACTTGTTGATTTTCTAGGTTTTGGTTGCGAAGGCCCAGATATACACTTCCACCAAGAGAAATTTGATTCCCCCACCAATCCCTTGCGAATCTTGTTACTCTTGGGTGTTTGAGCACCCTAGACGGTTGAGGTCACCTCGGAGCCACAATCCATTGTGGTGTAGCTCTGTGGTATCGTTGGGAGCCTCCAATCAAGTTGTGGAGATTGCCCCAACCTTGTTTGGAAAGGTTCGGTCGCCGCCTTTAAGGGCACCGCTAGTGGAATCACGACATCTCGCATTGTGTGAGAGCGTGAGGAGAATACCGTGGCCCTAGTGGCTTCTTGGGGAGTATTGTGCCTCCACACCGCTCCAACGGAGACGTACTTCCCCTCAAAGGGAAGGAATTTCGGTAACACATCCTCACCTCCACCGGCTCCACTTGTGGTTATCTCCTTCCTTTATTTTGTGCAAGCTATTGTTGTGTTGTATCCTTTGCTTGCACTTGTTGTTATTGTTGTTAGCATCATATTTGTTGCTAAACCTAATTTGTGAATAAAAGCAAAAAATTGGTGGTTGCTTATTCACCCCCCTTAGTCAACCATATCGATCCTTTCAATTGGTATCAGAGCCTCATCTCTTTATTAAGGGTTTCACCACCCGAAGAGTATGGTTGACACCGGGGAGGAAGTGCCCGAGGCCGTGGAGTTGACTTTGATCACACGAGACGACTTAAATGAAGTTGTGGCTTCACTTAAGACGTCCATGATGACCGAAGTCAAGTCCATGCTTAAAGAATTGCTTGAGGGGATGAAAGCTTCTCCCGATCCTTTGCTTGTGGTTAATCCCACCGCATCGGAGTCAGAGGCCAATCTTGCTAAGGAAGCGGCTAAAGGTACTTATGTTTCTTCCCCTCACGACAAGAATGGGATGGGAACCTTTGCCTCGGTTCCCCCTCCCCCGGTCTATGGAGGATCAGTCCCTACACCTCACATTAATATCATGGTCCTCCTCCCAAGCTTGTTAAAGGTGATTTTGCTAATTGGGTCTTTCGCATCAAGTCTCATTTGAATCATAGCTCAACAAACCTTTGGAGAATCATTAAGCAAGGCTTCTACCCGCATGATCCAAACAACTTCACCCCTAGAGAAGAAGTGGACAATCAATACAATCACTCCGCTTTGTTCATCCTTGAAGATGCGGTCCCACACAAAGATCTATCCCACCTTCGTCCCTTCACTCATGCAAACGATTGTTGGGAACACATTGTATCCATGTACAAGGGGAGATCAAGCATCCAACAATCCAACTTTGAAGTGGTCCTTGATGAGGGTGATGAATGTGTGATGCTAGAAGATGAGGATCCGCGTGATCTCTACCGGAGGGTGACAACTCTTGCGGTTGCTCTCCAAGACCATGGGAGCAAGGATACGGATGACACTTGTATCAAGCACAAGTTTCTCAAGGCCATCATGCCATTCAACAAGGCCATGTCTTCCGTGATTCGTTAAAGGCCGGACTTTCACACCTTAACCTCAAGTGAAGTGTCGGATGAGTTTATTGTCATCAACATCATGAACAAGACCGCCGACAATGCTCTTGCTCGTGCCCGGTCAAAGAAGAGCTCAACCACCCTTGCTTTGAAGGCCAAGGCCATTCTGGAAGAAGAAGAGGTGTGTTGCCCCGAGCACACCAAATATGCTTACCATGAGCACATGGCTCTTGCATCAAGGCAATTTTGGGACAACAAGAGGAACTCAAGGCCCAACTTCACCAAGAACAACTCAAGTGGGTGAAAGAACAAGCAACGAGTAAGGACTTGCTACAATTGTGGCAATATGAGCCACTATGGCGGAGTGCCCTTACAAGAAGAGGGAAGACAATGGTGGCAAACTCATTTGCAAAGACAAAGCCAAGTCTTTTCCTAGCAAGAACAACTCCACCAAGAAGACTCCTCCCAAAGGGCTTGGTGGCACATGAAGAGTACCCCTCCGATGGTGATGAGGAAGATACAAGTGGAGAAGGAATGACAAAAACAACCATTGTCATTGCTACATATTCCCCTCCAAGGTGTCTCTCTTCGGTGCCCCCAATGAAAACACCATTGCCGAGTGTCTCATGGCCAAAGGTATCAACAAGGTAACTCCTAACATCAAAACCACCATCATTACTACTCCTTCATTATTAGATTGTGTTGATGATAGTGAGGTGGAGAAAGTTAATGAGAATGAGTTCACCAAGTTCGTGAACAAGCTCAAGGGTGAATCCAGAAGCACTTTGTTGCTATCTTGGAACAACTTGGTGAGGCCAATGATATCATTGAGTCGCATGAAGATACTATCTCCAAGTTGGAGGGGCATAGTCATTACTATGCCGATGAGATTGCGGATCTTTCCATTGCTCTCTAAAGGAAGAGTGAGATCTTCGTTTGACTCTTGAGGAGTCACACAATGTTGATCATGCTAAATTGCAAAAATATCTTGATCACGCTATTGTTCTTACTCGTGTGCTTAAATCCGAGAAAGCCACACTTGAGGGTTGACCATGATAGACTCAAAGAACAATTTGATACACTTGACAATGCTCACAAGGTCTTGAAGGGTGTTCATGCTTCACTCAAAGAGTCTTGTGACCAACTCCAGGTGAAGCTAACCAAGGAGATTTCCACATGTCCTCCCTTTGTTCTAATTGATAATGCTCATGCTACTAATCCTTGTTGTGAGCATGTGCATCTTGTGGAGGAAAATGCCAAGTTGAAAGAGCAACTTGAGAAGGGACTTATCGTGGAATTGTCATGTCAGATGTCCTAGCAGAGGGACTTAGTCGTGGAGCCATCGCAACTAGGTTAGATTT